TTTCACCAGATAGAGCTTGTTTTAGGGTTTGGAATTGCTGGTATGTACAACATTGTAGCATCGGCATTTGGATATATACAACAATCCGAGATGGGTCATTATAAATTACTCGTCGTTTATTTACGTTGTTTCTTCAAATGTAAGCCCAAAAGACCGGAACATGAAAATACACAAAACGAAAAGGTTAGAACTAAATCTGATCTGGTTTTGGGTTCATCCTATCTCTGTTTGTTCTGAGAGCATATTTTCCGGGCCGTAACTATGCGAGCCGAGACCTAGTTTCTCCGGGTTCGATGTGTATGCGATCGGCGTACTTGGACTCGACATCTCTCCTAACTCACTTATGAACAGATTCGTCTAATCTCGCTCTCAAATCAAAGTAGGAATTGGGACAGCCTGGATTTAGAGTAGACGAGGTTCATTTTCATACCAATGGTACTTCGGTGAAGTAGAGCCGGTAGGGGCGATTGCTACCCCATCGAGTCTTGGGAGTCGGCTACATACAAACGCTTAGAAAGCGGTTCAAATAGCCGTATTCAAACAGCCAATGCTCATATTTCAGTTTGTTCTTGTTGAACTTTGTTATTACTGCGCACAAGCTATGGAAGTATGGACATTATAAGGTATCCGAAAACCTACCTCAGTGATGAAATACTATAGGTACATATGTTACACTGACTCGATTTTTATATATTCTGTAAATCTCTGCTCTCGCTCTCTAGTCTGTATAGAGTCTTACTTTCTTTGAAGCCAGTTTCGGCTTCCCCTCTCTTGTGTCATCACTCATCATCAGAACCAACTACAGAGATACGAGTATGTACTGAGGGCGTATCGAGTATTGTATCGACTGTCATGCATGAGTGTCGTTTTGCTGCTAAAGTCAACATCAACGTATCTGCCAATCATAGCCACTTGCTCATTACTCTCACTTTCAATTCGCTTCGAGCCTAGTTTCCGTCTTTCACTTACCTCTGACACTCAGTGACCTCATCCCTGATCCGATGATCTCATATTTAATTTATATTATATTTTCTATAAGAAATGCATTGGTATCATCTAATAGTGGTGCATAAAGTGTTGGTATCATGTAAAATGAATAGTGTTGGTAACATACAATAGTGTTGGTATCATTTTATAGTGTTGGTATCATTTAATAGCGTTGGTAATATATATTAGTGTTGGTATTATATATATATAAATAT